GATAGAATACACCCTTGTCTCATCCCCTGACCGACCTCAAACCAGTCTGTAAATCCATGTGTGGTTCTGACTGTTGCTAACTGTTGGCCATATCGGTTCCGGATGAGTTCAACCAAATAATTGGAGAATCCTATTTCAAGCATTGTTTCCCATAAAACTTCATCATCATCATTGAGTACCATCTCCGGTCTGGAGGTTGACAGCCAGCTGCCTCCAACTACATCTGTCCTCTGCTTTCCTCTTTGCTTCACCAAGATTTTTGCTTTCACTCCAATCCAAAACATCACTTCCCCAAGTCCTTCTCTGTCTGCCTCTACTGTGTTTTCCATCCACTAACCCCTCAAGGACCAGCTGGCTGAGTCTTCCTCTGGCCTCTCTCATAACATGCCCTGCGAACCGCATTTTTCTTTTGACTAGATCATCTGCCCATGTTTCTTTGATGTTGACTCGCTCCAATACTTCCTCGTTTCTGACTCTATCCGTGTACGAGATTTTAAGGATTCTCCTATTGCACCAGAGTTGAAAGGAGTTGATTTTATTAATTGTTTTTTTACTATAGGCCCAAGCTTCACTGCCATATGAAAGCACAGATTTAACATAGCACTTGAGAAGCTTCTTTTTCAGTTCAATATTTAAATCTCTCCTTAGGAACTCCTTGCAATTCCAGAATTCGCCTCTAGCACGTCCTATCCTGCATCCAAATTCTTTTTCAATGCGACAATCTTCGGATATTAGAGTTCCAAGATATTTGTATTTTTTTATTTGTTCGAGTTCTGTTCCTTCAATGGTGACTGTAATCTTTTCATTATTTTTTGTTTTTGACATTATCATTGTTTTGGTCCTTTTAGTATTGAGAAGCATTCCATACCTTTTACATGTTTCATTGATCTTGTTCATCATTTCCTGAAGCATTTTTTCATTCTCTGCTAGAATTACTGTGTCGTCCGCATATCTCACTTTGGAAATTATTTCTCCGTTAAATTTGATATCATGATTTGGCAAGTCTGCTATAGATTCCTTAATGATTATTTCGCTGTATATGTTGAATAATATTGGTGACAATATGCAGCCTTGCCTCACTCCTTTCTTTACATCGAACTCATCTGTGAGTTGGTTGTTATATCTCACTTGCGCTCTTTGTTGGTAATAGAGGTTTTTGATGAGTCTGATTTCATGGTAGGGGACACCAATGCTTTCCATTATTCCAGTAGTTTTTGATGTTGAACCCTATCGAAAGCTTTGGTATAATCTATGTAGCACAAATAGGTCTTTTTCATTTTTTCTATCCGCCTTTCACCGATTGTTCTTAGAAGATATATTCCATCTCTAGTACCTGTGTTTTTCCTGAAACCGACTTGACTTTCTTCTAATTGTCTGTCTAAGATGGGAGTGATTCTATCTTTTATTATATAGAGAAGCACTTTGCTTGCATGGGATATTAGACTAATAGTTCTGTGTTCTTCGCATTTGATTGCTTTGTTGACTTTAGGAAGAGGAATAAATGTGCTTATTATGAAGTCTGATGGGAATTCTCCTGTTTTGTAGATGGTGGTAATTAGTGCTGTAAATCTCCTTAGTCCATTTTCACCTAGTCTTTTTATAAATTCTGCTGGAATGTTATCAGTTCCTGTAGCTTTGTTTTTGGGCAGCCTTTCTATGGCTTTTTGCACTTCTGTTTCAGTTATTTCCATGATTTCAAATGTGTCATTAAGTAATGGGATGTCTACATTTTGCCGATTGTCATTATAA